CATATACACCACTCAAGCGTTTTACGTTCAAATACCTACGGATGCGTTGAGCAAATCTCTGGCACCAATAGATGCCATTGAATTCATTAATTTAAATGAAAGCATGTTTTGTATGATATATACGGCTATTGAGCGAAAGAATTGAAATGAATGCATACTTTCTCTTTTAGTGACACGAAATTTCATCACTTGTTTATGGGTTTCGTAATTGAATTGATTTATAGAAATGACTTCTATTTCGATGTCGCGGTCGTCGTCGAGAGCGGGTGAGCCGTAGAGGTATGCCTTTTGGCTGTGATTCACGTGTTTGTATTGCATCCAAACGGGCAGATCAGGCATTCCCAGTATGGATGGTATGAATTCAATGGCATCTATTGGTGCCAGAGATTTGCTCAACGCATCCGTAGGTATTTGAACGTAAAACGCTTGAGTGGTGTATATGTTGTACACATCCGATACATCTTTCTTTACTTGCGTTTCTGTAGGCATTAATTTGTTTTAAAATAGTATTCAATAATGCATTACATAATGATGCATGCTTAAATGTGAATTAATCGATGCATTCTTTCACATTTTGGGTTCATTCAAAACTATACACACCTTCAGATCCGATGCAAACAAATGCAGTCAAAGTGATCAATACATTTAATTGCATTTTTTGCACAACTATTGCGATATCAAATGTCTATAAGACAAACAATTACCATTATATTATATAATTTATATATCCTATAACTTATAGGTATTAAAAAACAAAATATATTAATTTGATGAGAAATGATGAACAAAACACAATCACAGCGCAAACGCTCACCCATTCATACAGACATAAACTCTTGGATTAATTTATTTTTAGATCGATATAAGAAACTTAAGCTATCGTTCAGTTAATGGAATAACTTTTTATTTGTATAAAAAATATATTAAAAACTAAAGCTTTTTATTTGGTATTAATTCGCAATTTGTTATCAAATTATTTTGCTTTTTAAGCATTAACTCTAAAATAGAGTATAATTTCTTAATGAAAACATTAATATCGTCTTTAGTGACACCAATGGCTGCGGCGGCCGTTATATAGGAATCATTGTAAGAGTTTGTATGAGAGCCCCAGTTCTTGAACTCGTATTTGCCGATAGTCTTTGTCTTGCCATCGATGGCCACAACTCTGGCGCCAGATATAGATCTCTTGAATAGCATTGAACCCAATTCCGTCTCTTTGATCGATGAGTTGCTAAACATATTAAGAGTCATTGCAATCGATATCTGATTTGATTTATTCTCAATCACATTAGCGTTAAATTTATTGGCAATTATCTTCATTTGTTCCTTAAGATAATTATAGTTATCTTTGCGCTCTTTTAGTAACGTTTTATATCCATTGATTCCCAGATGTAATAAAGTAATCAATAGGTCGAGCGATGGAGTGCTGGACCCGCGGCCGGCGTATGTACTGCTGATTTCATTAATAAAATGAGTGTCAAAGCCTGCGATTATAGACCCGCCGACGGGAACCATAAAGTTCTTGTCAGTGCTCTGAACGAAGGCATCAATTCGTCCCACTCTTGAGGACGTCTCCAACAGATGCATACATTTTGAAGACTGTATTCCGTAGGCGTTGTTCACCAAATGGGGTATCGATTGCTGTAAACATAACTTTGAGATTATCTCCAAATTGTCTGCATTTCTCGGAGCGAAACAAGAAGTGGTCGACAGAATGCACACAATATTCTCGTTTCCCAATTCCTTGATCTTCTCTTCGATGGCCTCGACATCAGTTTCCAGTGAATTATTGTCTAATATTTTATTGTCAATTATAACGGGTGTGAAGCCAGCGGTGAGAATGCATTTGAAGCACGACTTCTGGTCAATTCGCGGCCAAATGACAAACTTAGCGTTCGGTCGGCTCTGCCTTATGGTCAGCAAACAGAGGACAAGACTCATGCCGGTGGCCATCGGCACCACAAAACAGGCCCGAGTGTTGGCCACTCCAACACTTTGTATCACATCAAGCAATAGACTATTTGTGAGGACATTGAGAAGACTGGAACCGATGGCTTTGGGCTGGAGTTCGCATATATCACCGGAGCGTCCGATTCCGTGACCCAAACGATAGTGTCTTCGGGCGACCAAAGGTGAGGCAAATCGGGCCTCTCTTTCGCCCAAACCGTAATTGTGGACAAAGTTATTGCTGTCCATTAGTGCCAATCGGTTGACCAACAACTCGATGGCCGACTCATCCCAGCCGTCGAGCGGACACTTGCGGTGTCTCAGCAGTTGATGGATCTGTTTCTCGCGAGTGGTCATCGACTCAAACGACTGATCCGTTACCGATGTCTTCAGCAGAGCGTTCACTAACGACTTGAACGTCTCGTCCATTGAGTTGTTTGGTTAAAATGTGAGCATTTTTTGACTCAAAATTAAATGATTTAATAATAAAAACAATGAATTAATTGATTGTTAGAAATGATGTCATTATTGGAGGCAAACCTCGGTTTGTATCACATGTTTGTCAATACAAACGGCAAATCATGTGTTAATACACTGTATATAACTTTAGCCCCAGTTTTGGTCCCTTTTATGGCATAACAAAAGCATTGATTATTATATAGTATTTGTTGTATTAAAAAGTCATATAAAATACTCGCAGTTTTGATGTGAAAAACTTTGAGTTTGTTTTGATTTGAGTTTTGTTTTTGTATTTATTTTTTTTAAAGTGATTTAAAAGTTATTTATTTAATGAATTGATTGTGAATTGAATTATAATAACCAATGGATTCGTCCGATGAATACGAGTTGCCGTTAAGTCAACAGTTGTTTAATCTTCAGTTGGATTTAGAGAAGCGGTTGAAACAAATGACAAGCGATGAGACCGTCGATGGACTCAAAGAGAATGCAGTCTTTGATTATTTGGACACAATTTTGGACAATAAACTCGTTTCGGTTCAAGACTTTGGCCGCGGTTTGTATTGAATGCCTGTTTCAAGTGGTGTCTCGTATAATGTCTTCCTCTCTTCCTCTGCAGACATGGATTGGCTGAATGTGGGAACAAGTGTTTCATTGGACCGGCATTTGCGCGGATTGATTGTGATAATGGATTTCTTCACCTATTGTTGTGTCAATTGTTTGCATATTTTGCCCAAATTGTCGGCAATAGAGTCCGAGTTTGAGTCGGAATCAGTTGCGGTGATTGGCGTCCATTCGCCCAAATTTGTTAATGAAAAAGACATCAATAATGTCTGCGACGCTCTTCTCAAGTATAACATCACTCATCCGGTGGTCAACGACCCGACGGCTAAGATATGGTCGGCTCTCGACGTGCAGTGTTGGCCGACTGTAATGATTTTGGGACCAAATGCTCAGATTTTGTTCACATTAGTCGGCGAAACAGGTGTTGACGAATGGCTTCACTTCTATATCCAAATGTCTCTCAAATATTTTGAAAGAAAACAATTATTAATTAATGAAAATAAGCGCAAAATACCCGTTAAATTGCTTAGAGATTCATTTGAGAGCCAATTATTGGGATTTCCCGCAAAGATTAGTGCCTCAGAAGATCAGCAATTAATAGCTATATCTAACCCTAAATATCATAATATAATCATTTCGACAATAAATGGCGTAATTCTGCATATAATCGGTGGAAATGAGAGCGGATTTAGCGACGGGTCTTTTACTGACGCCCGTTTCAATGGTCCGAATGGTGTCGTCTGGNGTGCCTCAGAAGATCAGCAATTAATAGCTATATCTAACCCTAAATATCATAATATAATCATTTCGACAATAAATGGCGTAATTCTGCATATAATCGGTGGAAATGAGAGCGGATTTAGCGACGGGTCTTTTACTGACGCCCGTTTCAATGGTCCGAATGGTGTCGTCTGGAGAGGCAATGATATAGTGTTTGTCGCCGACACTGAAAATCACTCGATTAGAGAGATTAATCTTAACGATAAAATGGTTAAAACAATTGCTGGAAACGGGAAACTAACTAATGATTTGATTGGCGGCCGATTTGGTTGCGAACAGGGGTTAAACTCTCCGTGGGATGTGTGCTGTGCCGACAATTGCCTGTTCATAGCGATGGCCGGTTGTCATCAGATATGGGTTCTTATACTCGACGACAACATTAAACTATTGGACAAAATCTACTCAAAGGGTTGTTGTATTAGTTTTGCGGGAAACGGTGCCGAAGAGAATCGTAATAATAGATATCCACATAAAGCGAGTTTTGCTCAGCCGTCGGGTCTAGCGATGGATCCAAAGAACGGACTCATTTATGTGGCCGACAGTGAGAGCTCTTCTGTCAGATGTGTAGACATAAAAAGTGGTTGTGTTTCGGGTATTGTTGGCGGCGATAGGAATCCGCAAAATTTGTTTGCCTTCGGAGATAGAGATGGAAAGGGAGTTGAATGTCGTCTACAACACTGTCTGGGAATTGTTTTGGACCATAAAAATCAATGCCTATTCGTCGCCGACAGCTATAATCACAAGGTTTTTGCAATTATTGTCAATACTTATTGAAGTTATTTTAGTTACATTTTTTGACTCAATTTATTTGTTTGTTATTAGCAATAGTTTTAATGAAATATGTATTGAATTTTGAAAGAATTTTTATTTTATTTTATAACAGATTAAGAAAATAGATTTATTGACCAAATCATGCATTACTATCGCCGGCACTGGTCTTAATGGCAATCAAACCGATTGTAAAGCATTTGAATGTAGTTTTAATGAACCGAATGGTTTGTGTCTAATAGACGACTCCAAGAGACTCATAATTACAGACACTAATAATCATTGCCTTAAAGTATTAGATTTGGACAGAGAATTGATCAATGAATTCAATTTAATACAAATCAATGAGAATAAAAAAATATCTTCTGACAATCATTTGCTTAAACCAAAAGCTGATTTCACTATACATTTGAATTCAATTGATTTTAGCACTGATTGTGAATTAAAACTCAAAATGAATTTAGATTTTGGAGAAACCTATAAACTCACAGAAGAAGCAAAACAATCCATACGTTTTCAAAATCCAGGTTTGGTTTGATTTTGTATATTCGTCGCCGACAGCTATAATCACAAGGTTTTTGCAATTATTGTCAATACTTATTGAAGTTATTTTAGTTACATTTTTTGACTCAATTTATTTGTTTGTTATTAGCAATAGTTTTAATGAAATATATATTGAATTTTGAAAGAATTTTTATTTTATTTTTATAACAGATTAAGAAAATAGATTTATCGACCAAATCATGCATTACTATCGCCGGCACTGGTCTTAATGGCAATCAAACCGATTGTAAAGCATTTGAATGTAGTTTTAATGAACCGAACGGTTTGTGTCTAGTAGACGACTCCAAGAGACTCATAATTACAGACACTAATAATCATTGCCTTAAAGTATTAGATTTGGACAGAGAATTGATCAATGAATTCAATTTAATACAAATCAATGAGAATAAAAAAATAACTGACAATCATTTGCTTAAACCAAAAGCTGATTTCACTATACATTTGAATTTTTAACTAAAATCGTGACTAACACTTAATTTTGAGTTTTACTTAAATCTAAAACCTCTTTGGATATTTGAGTGTCTTCTTCGTTTTGTTAGGTATGCAAAAGTTTTAGGTCCAAACCAAACTAAAACAAATTAATTTTCTAAACATAAACTAAAATATGTGTTTGTTTTGCATTCACTTCAGATGAACACCTGTTTATGATATCTCATGAAAGGATCGATTTTTTGACAGAAATGTCTGATTTCAAGCTCACTATGAAAGACGTGGACCTAAATGACTGCCTCAACACAATATATTTGTTTACAATAAATGCAAACTTTATTTTATGTCACAATGAACTCAATTATTGCAAACAAATTTTAGTTGACTTTCATTTGCCGTTCACTATATGTGATAAGAAAAGTGCAAATACTTTGATCGCAGACTTAAATTTTACAATGAACTCAATTTAATCGATTTTTAATCATTTATTTATTCCATGTTTTTTTAATTTAAATTATAAATCATTTATAAGACAACAAATATTATACTTGTTTTCAGAATATTTACTTAAAATAAATTTTATATAAAATCTTTTTATAACTTTTTAATTATTTATAACTTTTTAATTATAAGCCAAACACAAATAATATATTTACGATATTTATCAATTTTAAAAATATATTATTATTAAAATTTAAGAAATGATTACTTTGTATGTTCTAATATGTTAATATGAACATGCAACATTACAAACTATAATATTTTAATAAATTATAATAACTTATAAATTGTTATTTTTATTATAATTATCACTGTTTAAAATTTTAACTAGTTATTACCGGTAATTCTATATTTTGAATCATTTTAATATATTTTGCGAGATAATTTAATGTTTATGCAAATTATTTGTCTTTATAAAGTTTTCAATGTAATGAAATTTATGGGATTTTCCATAAATTCTTTAAAAATTTTATTTTGTTTTAGTTTTTGGTAACTTTATGTGAATATAAATGAATTTCTATAAAATTATAAAACTATAAAATATATACTTTTTTGGTAATTAATAATATTTAGTGTCATCATTACTTCGTTTATAATCTTAACATTAAAAAAGTATTTAATATAAATCATTAAGAATTAGAGCAAAAGTGAGCGAAGATATCAAGAATTTAGTTAAAGTAAGTGAAAGATTGAGAGTAAGGAGAATGAAACGGATGTTTGAGTGAAATTAAATCATTTAAAGCCCAAATCCACTATCATTTGAAAGCTATCACAACTAATTTCAAGAGCACTTTGAATTGAATACAATTTAAAGCAAATAATTTCTAACAAACAGTGAATCTAAGAATTATCGTAAAACTGATCCCATATTGCGGTTAATGTATTCATATAACCAGTCGT